TTTAAATAAATGATAAATAATTTGTTTAAAAATCTTAAAATAAATTTATTAATAAATATCTTAACGATTGTTAATTATTTAACAATAAATGATTAAAGAATATCAAATAAATACTAAAAATAATATTTATTAATTAAAATTTATTTCATTTTACTGATATACATTATTTAACTATTGAAATTTGAAATAAAAAAAAAAAAAACAAGTTTATCTTATATTAAATTCAATATTGAATAAAAATTTTTTTTTTTTTCTTCAATTAAAAATCAAACATTTTTTTTTATTAATAATCGATATATTATAATTAAAAGAAATTTTTCAAAAAAATCTTCTTTAATAAATAAATTATTCTAAAATAAAAATTCGAATATTCTATTAAAATCAGCAGCGTTCAGATTTCCAAAAGAAAAAGAAATTACTCCGATTAAATTATCAAATTTCAGTAACTATTGAGTATCAAAAAAAAAAGAGATTTTCAGTAAACATCGAAGTTACTGAAATATTCCTAAAACGTAATCAAAAATTCTCGTCGAATAAATTACACTGAAATGATTGATTCACTTCACAATAAAATCAAAACGATATTATTATTATGCTTCAGTCTATTGTCTCTTAGAGTTCATTCTCAAAAGAGACACAATTTTTCTATAGATAAAATGGATAAAGAAAGCAAACAGATTTGCTTTAAAGTCTTTATTATAACTATCAATGGCACTTTTATCTTTACTTTAACAAGTAAAGCACATTAGATAAGTTTACCTTACCGAGTTAAGTAAACTAAATTATGTTCACTTTACCAAAACAGTAAAGTAAAGTAAAGTAAAGTAAAGTGAAAAACAATACTTAAAATTCATTGCTGACTTTCTAACTCAACATCATACACGGATAATCGTGCTGCGTCATCATCAATAAATGATGTTAGACTACAAAATCAATGTTAAATTGTATATATTTAAATTCATTTTACTTTTCTGGTAAAGTCTATATATACTTTACTTTACCGGATAAAGTAAAGTTAGGTACTTTACTTTTTAAAGTAGAATAAAAATAAAGTGCCACTTCTAATTATAACACATATTTTGTTGCTTATTGACTGTATATATTCTTCATTGTAAAACTATTTTTATTCTAACTACTACTTAATTATTTCCAGCACTACTTATTAGATATGCATAGCTACTTAATACGAATACATAGCTATTTAATATCTTAAGAGTGTGCCTATAACTGTGCGTCTTTGTCTTCTCTATGAACCCGATGCCACATTCACACCCACAACCTTTTTAATTGTTTAACCTGAACATGGAATTGATTTCGCTTGAATTCGAATTGAATCTTCCGAATATTTCAATTAAATATTTGAAAAATTTATTGATTATTCAAAGTATTAACTATTAGAAATATGGATACGATTTATAATATGAGAATATCCATAGGAATATTTATTTCACTAGTTCAATAAACAAGGCAAATATTAATAAGGACACTTTATGTATTGAATCTCAAATAAATAAATATTGATTTTGTTTCATTTTGAACAAAAAAATTTCATTTAACATTGCAATATTCGTTCATGTAATTATTTTTCTTTTCTCAAAATATATCAACTCAAACTTGAAAGATAAATTAAATTATTTATTTATTAAAAATAAATCAGTAGCTTAAATTAAATATTTGATATTTACTATAAAATTTTATTTATATTTCGTTTTGTTTTAGAAAAATAAAAGAAAATTTCAATCGATTTCAAATGAGCAGTGAAAGATCGTTGACTAAAAAAGCTGCTTAGTTTCTACTGATAAAATCACATTGAACTATATTTTAGTTTATTGTTTCTTAACTAATTGTTCGTCTCGATGTTGAACTAATATGTAAAAAAGAAATCAACAATCAAATAGTCATTGCAATATTTATTGACTAGCGAGATCCCGTGCATACTGCACGGCAGCGTTTTTTCTTTAACGTACGACCTCAAAACTTTAACTTTTCGTTCGGTATCAGACACAGAGACACTCAACATTATGTACATATAAGTCGTACGGCATGATATGCTTATATCGCAATACCCCATGTAGCTTTACGGCTTTACATTTCTTGTAGCTCTTCTAGCCTTATCCCTTTACTACCTTACTGCTTTATAGCCTTACCACTTAATAGTCTTATCCCCTTATTGACTTTCTTCCTTAGAGCGTTACCACCTTATAGCCTTACCATTCATAGCCTTATCTCCTTATAGGCTTACTCACTTACAGCTGTACTTCCTTATAGCCGTATCTCCTTGTTGTCTTACTGCCTTATGAATTTATCCCTTTATAGCCATACTCCCTTATAGGCTTCTCCCTTATAGCCTTACCCCCTTATAGCCTACAGGGTGTCCTGAAAGTCATTGACCAAAAGTTTTTTCGTGTATCTTTACTATTTCATTTAACTTTATCAATAAAATTTTTTTTAAATTATAGGTGAAGATACCAAGTTTTTATTTATCCGAACGATCTTCCATATTATTGTGCAAAACTATCATCTTGGATCAAGATACAAAAATTTTACTCTCTTTTTATTTCCAGAAAAATATTATGTAGCGTTTTTTTTCTTTAATTATTTCGACTTCCTGTAGTAGTTTTCTGGAAATTTTGCTCCAAAGAAAAGGCATAAAATTTTTCAATATACATATTCTTGTAGAACTCGACAATCTCTATCTAACCATATGAAAATATCAAAGAAAGAACCTCAGTCGATTGTTGAATTGCTCGCTTCTTACAAAGAGAACCAAATTTTTGTACCTTGATCCAAGGTGATAGTTTTGCACAATAATATGGAAGATCGTTCGAATAAATAAAAACTTGGTATATTCACCTATAATTTAAAAAAATTTTTATTGATAAAGTTAAATGAAATAGTAAAGATACACGAAAAAACTTTTGGTCAATGACTTTCAGGACACCCTGTACTTCCGCGTATAGTCCTACTCCCGTATACTCATACTGCCTTGTTGCCTTACTTCATTATAGTGTTACCCCTTTATACCCTTACCGTGTTACAGGCTTACCCCTGTATATAGCCTTACTTCCTTATAGACTTACTCCTTATAGCTTTATTCAACCTTTAACGGTTGACTCGGCACACACACACAGACAGACACTGAACATTATATATATAGATGCAAAAACAAAATGATCATTTTCTACCTAATAAAAGGCTGAACCTTTTTCTTTTTTGTCATATTTTGAAAGTTATTTATAAAATATTCTCACTTAAAAATGAATTAGATTTTTCAATATCATTCTATTGTGAAACATAATAGCTATGTGAAAAGATTTTTTCATGCTATTCTATAATTGTTCTTGCTTTTTTTGTTTTATGTAAATGAATATGATCAGTTGAAAGTGATTTCAATCCTACATAAGTCTTTAATATTTCTTTATTGATATATCTTTAAGTATTATTGAGTTTAAAGAGAATGAATTAAAGATGATAAATCTTTTTTATTTTATTATCTTGTTTTTGTTTTTCAACAAAAACAAAAACAACACCAATAAAAAGTTTTGTTTTTATGATGATGATGGTGATGAATCTTTTGGCGTTGTTGCATCAACAGCAACACCAGAACTTGATGCGCCATCACCACTACCAACACTATTGAGGAGGGCTGTCAACCGTTGTACAATTATCGGCGCCATTGATGTGGTCGGCTGAGCCTCGAGTAACGCCACTGCTCCTTTCACTGAGCACGATTGATAATTCCTGTACGACGGTGGTTGAGAATGTTGTACATGAGTTGGTGGTGGTGGCGACGATAAAGACCTCTAGAAAAAAAATAGATTGGTAAAAGTTTCAGTTTGAGTACTATCTAGAGTCTTAACCTTAAACTCGTATAGAGATGAACGACACATTATAAGCAAAATATCGCACAATGTTAGTGTATAAATATATATATCAATAGAATGTCAAAACGATGTTAGAAACGGACTGAGATGACCTAACGAATGAGTTGTCTATTATCCTACGGAAAAACTTTTTCAGAAAACCCGCCATAAACCGCGGTTGTTTTGCACCGCGATTTGTGAGGACCGCAGTATATCCATTGACAACCACGGTATTGAATATCGTGGTATTTACCGGTTTCAAAAACCGCGGTATGTCTATGTGTAATCACGGTATCGACCGGTTTCAAAAAAAACTGTACTCAATATGGCGGTATCGGGAAAGTTGCAAGACATCGAAAATTAAAATGTCGAAGACCAAAATCTCGTCAAGGCATATGTTGAAAAAACAATCTCAAAAGTGCAGAATCTGGAAATACAAGCATGTCGAACAGAAGCAGTCGAAAAGCAAAATATCGAAAACATTGTATATTATATAAGACTTTCGAGAAGTTTTCAATACGGCATTTTTTATTAATTTACTTCTGTTGGTGGAAAAAAATGGAATCTTTTTATTGTTGTTACGTTCAAGAATATAATGACTGTTGAAAACTTTATTATTTTTACGACTCACCTACACTGACAAAGTTTTTACATAGGCATAAAATGATGAAATTATTCTTTATTCTGAATACCTTTTGCGAGCAACAAACTCAATCCTTGTAAATTTTGTTTAGTACCGATTTCCAACTTATCAAGACAAGTTCAAAGGCTTTTAGGTCGATCTTACATGAGGAATTTGTTGTCGATTTCGTTTTACTTTTCAGTGTACCCATGTGTCTAGGGTGTGGATTTGGGTGTGAACGTGAGGATTAATGTGCATGTGGGTGAACAGAAGATACTTGTGCTGATATTGATATCACCTCCCATTGTTCTTCTTTTTCTCTTTCCTCTTTATCCTATCTCAATTGTTCTCTCTTGTGTTCGTCGCTTCCTTTGTCTCGTGCTCTCCCTATATAAGTGTGTGCTATATGTAAAGTAGTTACATTCTGGATATATGAAGTAGTTAATAAACATCATTACTGTAGGTGGCGGTAAGCTACTCAATCCAGTCTGTCGTTACAGTATCCACTAACATTGTTAATCAATTTCTTAGCTGAACAGATGCGTCATGTGTATGAGTCATACATTGACTTTAGTTCATAGTAGACATTGTTCGCGTTTTGTACTTTTGATATTTTTTTCTTCTCCTTTTTGAGTTTGAATGTTTTTCCTTCAATACTTTTTTCCTTTGACATTCTGCTAAGTTCAGATATTGACTTTGAATGTTTTCCCACATAATCGTGGCCTACATTGGCTTGGAAAACCGCGGTACAGTGACTGAAAACCGTGATATTAAAAACCGCGGTATCTATAGTATATATTTAAATATGAGAAAATGTGTAAGGACAAGGAGGATGTCGTGCCCCACTATTTTTCAGAGATTTCAAAGAATATTTTTTATTCTATGTCTGACTGCAAAGCAACTTTGCGGCAATGAAACTTTAAAAAGTTCACTACAACGCCCCTCGAAGAATCGCTCACCTGAATTTTGAAAAAATTTTAGGTGAGTAGAAGAAAAAAAAGAACACTGATTCTTTTTCTCTCTCTTTCTCATTGGGTCGAGCACAAAAATATTCTTTTCTCCCTTGCCTATCTTGCATTTGCTCTATGTCGTTACTGGAAAAAAGGCTTAGTCTCATTTCAGGTACATTTTCGTTTACAAGGTGAATATAAATAAACACGTCTTTCTGATTATATTTGTTGTTTAAGTAATCATTTATTTTTTGTGTTGACGCCATATTTTGACAAATAAGTATATATGATTATTTTAATGCTAGATTCATGATCACTTAGTATAATTACTCGAAAACTATTGTTTGAACTTCATTCAGTTTCGTTTTCATATAATTTTCTTTTTCGCTGTCTTCAGTGAGAATATGATAAATAGAAATTATTTTAAAATAAGATAATACAAATCGATTTCTTAGTTTGTAATCGACATTAATGCTCTTTGGTTTTGTTTTCATATTCAACGTTAGGAATATGCAGCGAAATTTTATTCTATAATTTGTTATAGTTAGTAAGCAACTAATGATTCAAGTATAAGATAGATTTTGACATCTGCTAAGTTTTTTTCAACAATCTTAAGGACTTTTTATGTAGAATGTGATCAGGAATCTGATTGAAATAAATAATCATATAACTTACGTCAATTAGATGTCTGATGAATCAAACAGTTGTAATAGAAGTGCAATAATTACTGATGAAAAACAATTTTTATTTAAATAAAACATTCAACCATTAAAAGAATAATTGTTCGCGTTTTTATAAACAGTGCTTGGGTGGGTGTGGGTGTGGATATCAGCTATGGCGTAGCTGATTGTAGATTTGCGTCCTCTTTTCATCCACACACACACTCGCACTCGCACTCGCACCCACACCCACACAGACCGTGCACTAGGAACATATATATACTCAAATAAGAGAACTTGAAGCAGAGATGCTCGTAGTTCACATATTGAACATGTCTATATTATCAAGATGCTCTGTGGAACTTTTTTTATATAAACTTCTAGATTAATTTAGGAATGGACGACGACAATATGAGCTGCACTGACAGTGAATCATCGTCAGTTGATGAACACGCTGCCAATTTATCTTTATATATGAAGAATATAGAAGCTCCGTTGTCTGTACGATCGAAACACAAAATAGCAACGATAAAAGAGTGCTTCAGAAAAAAGAAACGTAAACGTGTCTTTCCAGGCAAATGAAGAAAAACAGATTTATTTGAAACACGATCATCCTTCAAACTTTCTTCATCACTAAAACAGTTAGTATGCAGGCAACGGCATTTTCTTTATTTGCTGCTACGTATCTTTCTGCTGGTTTTTAATGTTTTCTCTACTCTATGTTTCGTGCAGATGAAATACCAGTTATTGCAAGAACGTCACAAATCTTCGATATTGAACATTTCCAAAAATTTCTCAATAATGTACATGTGTGCGCTGAAGGCGGACGTTTAGAATTTATACCAGATATATCGCCATCGGTTGGATTATTTCACCAAAATATTTTTCGCTGCACGAAGTGTTTAAAAGAGACACTTATAACAAATTTTCCACGATCACATCCAATCGAATCAATTCAACAAGAACCGAATAAACGTTTAAGTGTTGCTGCTGCTTTTACTGGAACCGGTTATGATGCAATAAATGTAGTTATGTCTTCACTATGTTTATCGATAACATCAAAGAAAGTATTTTTGCAACAACTACATAAACATTATGATTCATTATACGATTTTGTAAAAACACATTTTCAAAAGATTATTGATCATATAAAATATAAAAATAATCAAAATAATGAAATACTCAACATCACTGTTTCATTAGATGGTACATGGAAGCGTCGAAGCCATATTTCCAATTACGGAATAGTATTTTTGATTGATGTTCATACTGGATATTACATCGACTATGAAGTAATGTCTGTAAATTGTGAAGCATGTAATATGAGAAAATCAACATTAACTAATACACAATTTGATAAATGGTATAAAAAACATACAGTACATTGTTACAAAAACTACAATGGAACGTCTAAATCAATGGAAAAAGAAGGTGCAGTGAGATTATTTCAACATTCGTTGATTAATGGTCTTCGTTATAAAAGAATGGTATGTGATGGTGATGCCTGTGCATATGAAGCAATAAAAAACTATTATATTGAACAGCAGAAACAAATTGATACTTCAGAGGAGGAATCAATGGAAGAAGGAACAGATGACGATGAAGATCTACAAGAAGTGTCAGGGGATTATGATACGTCATCAGTAACAAATGATGAAGAAGATGAAGAGTAAGCTGACGATACATCGTCAACAACAAGTAGCGAAGAAAACAAAACCGACGATGATAATCAAACAGATGACAACAACAGTAGCGATAATCATTCAATAAGCGAAGACAACAATGATGAAGATGAAAATTTTCAACCTGCTTCTGATAGTTTTGAAGATTTATTAGTTTTAAAAGAAGATTATGTTAATCATGTTGGTAAACGTGTGATGAAGTATTTAATAAAATTAAAAAAGGAGAAAACTCGTCGAGTTCGAACATCAACGTCAACCACAAAATTTGCATCGTCATTATATTCTAAGAAACAGCCAGATACCCGACAACAACTATTAGATGATAATCAAAAGTGGGGTGGCAAAAATGGTCGTACGACACAATCTATGATGGAAAAGTTATCAAATGCTTATGGTCTTGCTATTAGAAAAGCTGGTGAATTAGCTGCTGGTATAAACACAACTTATGTTGCCCATAAACCATGTTTTCATGCTAAAACTTGAAAGATCGTTTGTTTTCTGTTTTAGATAAAAATTAAATGATGCATTGCATATTATGCAAAAGTCATACCAAGCAGCATTTTATCACTATATCAAGACAGCCGATAATAATGAAGAACAACAACACCAATTTTGTCCGAAAACAGAAGATACTTGGTGTGCATATCATAAAAATAAGTTAACACCAACCCGCAACGATGATAAACCACAAAAGAAGAAAAATTGGAAATTTCTCGATCCAATTTTTCGTCATGTTTTACAGCCAATGATTGATACACTTACATCAAAAGAATTGTTGAGACGTTGTTTACGTGGATTAACACAAAACTCAAATGAATCATTAAACTCCATTGTTTGGTAAACATTTCTTTCATACTACTTTTCTCTTCCTTTTGTTACAGATCAATTTTGGCAAAATCAAAGCATCATGGCTTTCGATCCGTACGAAGTGGTGCTGCTCTCGCAGCACTATTTTTCAATAATGGTCGAAGTTCATTAGTGGACTTTTGCAAACAATCTGGTATTGATGTTAATGTGACACTACTCGAATATCTAATAGCCAAAGATGAAAAACGTTTACTAAGAGCGCAAAAAATGTCTGAACAACAACAAAAACAAATACAACGAAAGACTATTGATAGACAGCGTTCAATGAAAACACAATTAGACACCAAAGACTATGATGCTGGAGGTTTTAATTTGTAACCTTAGCTTTTTTTCAAAAGGAAATCTGAAGTGAAATAATAGTTTCTTTCAAAAGGATTTTCAGTTTATTGAAGCAAAATCTTTAAACTAATAATTATCCAACTGCACTTAAATAATCCGATCATGAACGTATAACTAAGAACAAATAAGGAATCTCATATCAAGAAGGATTGAAAAATAAATATTATTTTATTTCTGTAAAAAATTTTCAATAAAATTAATATTAACAACGACTAGTGTAGGCAGATTTTTGTTATTTTCTGAAGTATTCATTTACTTAAGTATACTATGCTATAATATTTTCTTGTAAGTTTATATATGATTTTGTAGCTAATTTAAATCTCTATGGAATCATGTACAACAAAGAACCATATATTTAATTTGAATTAAAAAAATGTGCCTTAAACGACCTCAAGCATTTTTTGTATTTCAGGACATGCTCGAAAATGGCCCCAAAAGTGAAGATTCTAATCCGCTCAGTATATGCAAAATTTTATGATGCATCTTTCTATAATAACATTTTTAAAATTATAATTGGGTTCAAATCCTGAACTCGCAGGCAAGGTTCCAAAAACCGACTTTTTTTCAGTGAAAATCCACTTTTATGGAAAATTCGTGTTTTCTCTATGAGGCATCATTCAATCATCCGAAACAATTTCAGGATATATACAGTATTACTTTCTCTACAATCTGGTAAAAAAAATATATATACCATAGGGGGATACACCCCCTACCCTCCTTAAATTAATTGAAATTCTTAATTAAATCAACACATTTTTTATTATTTATTTATAGAGAAAATTTCTCGAATTGATATTATTTATTTTTAATATTCAAATCAAGTAAATAAGATTTTATTATTTCGATTAATCGACAAATCAATGAAAATCAACTAAAACCAATCGTTATTGGATTGAATATTCATATTATTCAGATTTAAATTAAATTCAATTGTTTATATACATCATTTTATTGATAAATTCATTTCTAAAAAGTTTTAACTGCTTCGCTAATGAGATATTTGACTAAGATAAATTGACATTTCTATTGATGTTTAACGAGATTTTCATAGAAGAATTTTTTTTTTTAGACAAATTATAAAATAATATACATTGGTAGATTATTAAAAATAGTCATAAATTAAAATAAAATCGATAAATAAAGTAAGTCTTAATTGTTTTAGATAATATTTTAATTGCTGATAGAAAGAAGACTGAACGTTTGAAATGATTCGTCAAAATAAATTAATAATAGAACTATATTCTCATCTGAATAAAACCGAGGGGGAAACACCTAAGACTTTAATTTTGAAGTACCAATGAAGTCCTGCAATCTCGTGAAGTGTGATGATATTTTTTTAAGCCTTTTTAAGTCTTCTGAAATCTTGAACTTCGCTGTTTCTCCTTGAAGTAAAACAAAAAAAATTGAATAATGCTATTCTAGTCGGTTCGATTGAATGTTTAACAATAAATAATTATTGTTTTCAATGGAACTTCAGTGTACTTTATTTGTCATTGAATAAATAAAAGCAAAAACACTCTTAGTTAGATACTTTACTTTTTATCTCTTAAACGAACAGTTTTAACGATAATTTCAATTGAATATTGAAAATAAAAACTTGTTCATAAATAAATGTTTGTTTTTATATTTATTTCGAATTTATAAATAGATAATGTCTTATTAACATAGGTTCACTTATTTTTAAATATTTACATATAGTTGATCAATAAAAAATAAAATAAATATGTTAAAAAAAAAGTTTAAATATTTCATAATATATTATACATTTAATAGTGAGACCTGATAAATTCGTTTGTCAATAATATTAAGATTAAAGTAGCTTAGTTTTAATATTTTTTTCTTTTTTGACAATTTGAGAAGTGTAAAGAAAAATATATTTGTCAAATGAATAATGGTTTATTCTATGGTTAAAAAAAAAACTTGCTAAAGTAATGTACGTTAAATTGTTGGATGTCATTCGATTTGAATGTTTATTTTTATTTTTATTTCTTTTCTTTTCTTTCAAGTATCAATGTTTGTTCTTGAAAGCTATGGTAGAATTTTTTTTTTAAATCAACGTTTACTTTTAACGTTTCTCGATGTTTTAAAAGAGAGAGAGAGAGAGAGAGAGAGAGAGAAATAAAACGTCGTCATCGTTTTTTGCTCACTTAATAGACCAAACAAAAAAATTTCAAAATTGAATGGTAACAACAATAAAACGAGTCGTTTAAATCGTTGTCTTGGTTGTGAAAAAAAAAAAGAAAAAGACAATTCAACTATGTCATTATTA